GTCATCGATCAAACTTATATAACGCGTACATTAATGTCGCGTGCCATAGCAGAACAGTTTTTTGGCTGTTTCATTACATCACATCATTGGTCTGATACTTGGTTGGCTAAAGGCATTGCTGAATATTTGTGTGGCCTGTATTCACGAAAGTGTTTTGGAAACAATGAGTATCGGGAATGGGTTCAATCGGAATTGGCGCGTGTAGTGCGCTATGAAGAGCAGTATGGTGGAATTATACTTGATTGTAGTCAGCCACCGGCTCCACTACCAGTGTCAAGTACGAATCCTGCAAGTGCGACTAGCAAACAAACAGAAATCGTGCATTATTTTCCTATCAAAAGTTTACATACGGTTTCGCCTAAATATGTCGAAGCAATGAGGCGTAAGGCTCATTTGGTTATACGAATGTTGGAACACCGCATCGGACAAGAGTTACTTATACAAGTGAGTTTTCTGTTTGTTTTTGTTTTATAATTTCCAATAAAGGCAAAAAAGCCGTTTCAACGTTCAATTTTCCCTCATACGATCGTAAAATCTAAACAATCAACTTGCATTTGCAGGAATTCAAATAATATACATGCATTCATATGCATATATATATGTATGTATATGTATGTTTCTTTAAATATGTTTTCCTCTCAGGTTTTTAATAAACAACTGGTGCTGGCTACTAATGCAGCGGTGACAAAAATTGGCTCCGGTTTATGGCATCACTTGCTTATTTCCACCAATATCTTTATCAAAGCTATTTTCACTGTAACTGGCAAAGATATGTCTGTTTTCATGGATCAGTGGGTGCGTACTGGTGGGCATGCGAAATTCTCTTTTACTTCGGTGTTCAATCGCAAACGTAACACAATTGAACTAGAGATAAGACAAGATTTTGTAAATCAACGAGGCGTCCGTAAATATAATGGACCCTTACTGGTACAACTACAAGAACTGGACGGCACATTCAAACATATGCTACAGATTGAAAATACTGTAGTGAAGGCAGATATTACTTGTCACTCGAAAAGCCGACGTAATAAAAAGAAAAAAATTCCACTATGTACGGGAGAAGAAGTCGATATGGATCTCTCTGCAATGGAGTAAGTATATGGTTTCCAAAGTTTTTTACCTACTTAGAAGGGGAATTACTAAATTGCATCTTTAATTTGACAGTGATTCACCTGTACTTTGGATTCGTCTAGACCCAGAAATGATTTTAATACGCGATCTAAACATAGAACAACCCGATTTTCAGTGGCAATATCAGTTGCGCCATGAGCGTGATGTGACAGCACAGTTTGAGGCTATAAAAGCCTTAGAGAAATATCCAACAAACGCAACACGTTCTGCACTAACGGATACGATTGAGAATGAACGCTGTTTTTATAAAGTGCGCTGTGAGGCAGCACATTGCCTTACGAAAGTGGCCAATCAAATGGTGACACAATGGAGTGGCCCACCGGCAATGTTGAATATCTTCAGGAAATTTTTCGGCTCATTTAGTGCACCCCATATAATTAAACAGAATAATTTTGCCAATTTTCAGTTATACTTTTTACAAAAAGTTATACCTNGCAATGTTGAATATCTTCAGGAAATTTTTCGGCTCATTTAGTGCACCCCATATAATTAAACAGAATAATTTTGCCAATTTTCAGTTATACTTTTTACAAAAAGTTATACCTGTCGCAATGGCCGGTGAGTATTTAGGATACATTTTAAAAGTAGATAATGGGTCAAGGTTTTAAGTCGGAAGTCCGCAGCATGCGTATAGGTTTTTTTTTGGCGACANTGTCGCAATGGCCGGTGAGTATTTAGGATACATTTTAAAAGTAGATAATGAGTCAAGGTTTTAAGTCGGAAGTCCGCAGCATGCGTATATGTTTTTTTTTTGGCGAAGACGATTTGGGACTTATTTTTGTTTCTAATTAAAATATCCAGCAAACAATCTCTTTCACCCAAATTTTTGACTTTCTTGTTTAGGCCTACGCACTTCGCATGGTATTTGTCCACCCGAAGTCATACGCTTTCTCCTGGATCTCTTTAAATACAATGATAACACGCGTAATCACTACTCAGATGTTTACTATCGCGCTGCTTTAGTTGATGCCTTAGGAAATTCCATAACACCTGTTGTTTCCGTCGCTCTACGTGGCACACCAATTACTTCGGATAGTCTTTCCGCAGATGCCAAGTATAAAAACTAATATTTATAAAATTATTTTGTAAAAATACCGTAAATATTTATAGACTCGTACTTGAAGAGGTCACTCGTCTACTCAATATGGAAAAGAACTTACCTTCATACAAATATATGGTATCTGTTTCTTGTCTTAAAGTGATACGAAAACTACAAAAATGTGGCCACTTGCCTTCGCTGCCGAAAATCTATCGCTGCTATGCTGCTTATGGCCAATATCTTGACTTACGTATAGCGGCTATGGAGTGTTTAGTGGATTTCGTAAAAGTAGATGGTCGTTGGGAAGATTTAGATCATTTGATTACACTGCTTGAAACAGATCCCGACCCAGCTGCACGGCATGCGCTTGCACAATTACTAATCGACAATCCACCATTTACGCGTGAGTCACGTAGTAGCCGCTTAGATCGGTCAGAGTTGGTAGAGCGATTGTGGTCAAATATGAAGTAAGTGTTTTTTTATTCGTACATACTTAGTACATGTGTATATACAATTTATTGAAATATCAAATATCACT